CCTCAGGTGATCCACCTGCCTTGGCCTCCCAAAGTGCTGGAATTACAGTCATGAGCCACTGCGCCCAGCCCGTTCTGTGGGAGTTTCTGCTATATTCTGGTTACTGACTGGCTGTCAGCAGTAGTGTACATATTTTTCCCACCTTGGCTTTTCTTTTATCTCTTTTTGAGGTGTCTTTGATGAGCAGAAATTCTCAATTGTAATATAGTTGAGTTTAGCAGTCATAGCTTATATATAATATTTTTTTCTATTATATTTAAGAAACTCTTCCCAATTCCAAAGTCACTGAAAATTCTGTTTCGTCTGCTGGAAGTTTTGAAGTTCTTCTGCCTTTTGCTCTAGCACACCCAGAGTCTACCAGGAGCTCACGCATGTGGAGTCCTTGGGTAACCTGACATCTCAGCCCCTTTGCTGAAATCCCCCTCCCTCCAAACCCGGGTTTGCAGTGCCACCTGTTTTATACATCAAGCTGCCAAATCTGCAAGGGTCTGTTTCTGGGCGCTCTTTGGTCCCCAAATTCCACTTCTCTTAATTTGCTCTAAGGATAGTTGAGGACATAAGCAGATATTTACTTACGGGAATGTCCGCTGAAATTCTGATGATAGCATTGAGGGAGCAGGAGGCATTCTAAATCTTCTGGCAGTGGGAAGCAGGTGAATGATGGAGAGGAGGGTGTGTAGGTGCAGTGAGATACTTGGTAGCCAACAAAAATGCATTTGCTGATGCAGCTATATGGTAATAATATACATGACAAAAAGTAGCAAGGTCAAACAACAGTATGTACAGTATGGATTCCATGTTCATAAAAAGAAAGTTGTAAGTTGAAAAAAACCTGTCATCTTTGCTTTCTCTTGTCCCGGTCACACTCAGGGTTATTTTATCTGGCTTCGACCCCATCAAGCCACCATGTCTGCTCTGGCATGTCCTCGGTGACCCCCTGGTGGCTGCTTCCTTTATCCTAGCCTCAGTTCTCATTTATGACCTCGCTGCTACATTGGACATCACTGATGCGATCTTCTCGACGTGCTGTCTCCTCTCCTGCACTTCTGCCCACTTTCTTCTCGTTCTCCTTTCTGGCTTTCCTTTCTCGATGTTGGTGTCCCTGGATTCCCATTTCCCTGGGCCTCCGTGCACTCCTTGCTTTCTCCTTTGGGGCCCTTGGCAAGGCATCTCCTGCGTTAAACCTTCTCCTACATCACAGACCTGCAGTGCTGGCTGTCGCCTCACACTGAACTCCCCTGATGTCCTCGAGGCCCACAGACTCAGCACGTCCAGAATGAAACTGACGTCCCCCCACTGAGCCACACTCTTCAGAGGTGTCCAGGATTTCGGTCCTGTCTCCTCCCCTTCACCTCGGTCAATTGTCACATCTTTCTGAACATTCCTGTGCCTGTGTCCATCTCTCCCCTGCCACCCCAGACTCTTGTCACCAACTCCCCCCTTATGCAAGTTTCTGAAGTGTTCTGCCAGCCTCCACGTTTCACCCCCTCTTCTTTCCCACACCGTGGCCACAGTCAGCTTTCCAGAGTGAGTGTATTTCTGAGCCACCACCGGGCTCTGTCTCTAGCCCCAAGGAGCAGCTGCGGGCCTCTGCTTGCCCAGCCCCTCCTCCCTGGCCTGCTCAGGTACCTGTTGTTCAGGCAGCCTCTCTTATGGGACATTGCTCACTGCCCTGTGCCCCACATCCCAGAGCACTCCGGTGTGTATACGTCTGCCCTCCTCTGGTCTGAGCTCCTGCCCATGCAGCCCTCAGAGCCCAGTGCGGTGACCAGCATCTGGAGACGTGGCCATGTGTCGGAGAGGGGTCAACCTCACCCTGTGACTGGGCCTGCTGATCCCTTTCAGACAGAGTCTGTTCTGGACTTTCTCTGTCCCCTGGTTTGAAGCCCTTTTCAAGGGCATTCTCAGAGGTGTCTTACTCTTCAGCAAGGACCACTGGAGACTTGCGCTTCCCCGCAAACAGCTGCACGTGGTAGTCTTGGACCTGTGGGCTGGGCATATGTCTGTCGGGTCAGTGGGTGGCTGTGGACCACACTGCAGCTCAGGCCCAGTGCTCTCGCCAGCTTCCTCTGGAGAGCCCAGCACTGGGATTGGTGTCTCACCTGTGTTTGCTGGTGGGCGCTTGTTCACTTTCCACCTGCTGCTCTTTCTCTGACTGGAGCTTGAGAGTTTTCTTGGTGCAGTGTGTGTTGCAAATTTGTCTCTGATTGGAATAAGGGTATCCTAGATGGCTCGAACGACAGTCGGCCCTTTTGTTTGTGCATAGAACCCAACAAAGTGACTGTAAGAGCCTGGTGGCCCGGCATGGCCTGAGCGAACTGTGCAAGGGCCTGGCCCTTTCACTCCTGACTCTGCTCTAGGGGGCAAGGAGAGGCCTTGTCAGCCGAGCAGCATTTCCTGTGGGTGCCTTTCACAGCTGCCACGTGCAAAATACAGCACATTATTTTGGGGTGTTATTTTCTTGACCACTTTTGGTTCATTGCTTTTGACTAAATGTTTAAAAATATTCTGCAGCATATCTATAGTACTCACAAGCAGCGAATCAGGAGAAGAAATGCAGTTTCTGAGAAGGCTTCAAAGAAATCATGGTCTTTATCTCTTCCCCAGCCTTTTCCGCTGAAACCCACCAGTCTTTTTCTGAGCACTCTTGTTCTATAAATAAAGCAACAGCTCTCCTTGGGCAGCCCAAGATCGCAGACTCTCATCCGCCCTCAGAAAGATTGTGCATGTGCGTGTGTGTGTGTGTGTGTGTAAGAGTGGTGGTGCAGTGAGTTGTGTTTTAATTTTGCTTTTCTTTTATGTATGAGATGTGTAGCAGGAGATGCAAGAAAAAATACTCTAGCATCTGTCCTTTAAAGATAACTTATTATAACTTTTCTGGGTTTTGGCTTGTTGGTTTTGTCTTTTTTTTTTTTTTTTTTGCCCATTTAGGGAAGAGATGGAAGTGATTGCTTTCCGCGCAGAGGTAAGGAAGAGGAATGGGGGGCCAGGAGAGATGTCCTCACAGTGAGGCCTTTGAGGTCAACAGAGAAAGGGTCTCGTGATGTATGTTTTAGGCTACTGTGGATGGCATTGCTCTGTGCAGATGTATTTGAAATGAGTGTCATCCATGTGTACTTGGATCTGAAAAGGATGTTTGGAAACAAATACCATTTCCCAGTCCTTCACTGGTTTGTATCCTCGCTCCCAGAATCAGGGGGTGGGACTTTCTGTCTGCCTTGGATCACCCTTGTTCTGTTTTGGACGGGATCTCAGATGCTAGCTGTATGCTGGGGATCCCTGCTGTCTCTAGGGGAGCGGGTGGGGATGGGAAGGTCACTTCTGGCAAACAAGCCTCATCAGGATGCTTGATCGTTGGATAATGTTGGGCTCCTCTCTTTTTCCTTCCTGGCACTCTTTAATTACTGGGGAAAGGGTGGGTGCCTTTTTCAGAAGTGTGAGGTGAATGTATAAGCCAAGAATGAGTCAGTAGATTCTTCAGCAGCTCTCCCCTGCGCCGATCCTCTAGAGTTGGAAAGGGCTGCTGTCGTGCCACCGGGCCAGTGCCGAAAGTAGAGTTCACCACGATTGGCACGTGCTGGTGAGCAAGAAGCTCTTGGAAGTGGTCGTGAGTGCAGCCAGTTTCCCCCAACCCAGGAAGGGCACAGTGAGGATGGCTTGTTGCAGGATAAGGAGGAGACCCCTAGGCACTGTGCACTGGCCTGTGCTATGCTGTCCGGGCGTGGTCCTGGTGTCCGTCCACATGTTGATGGGGTGTCGGGGTGGGGGCTTTCTGCAGCCTTCCCTGTTCCGCTCTCTCCTGTTGTGAACGGCCGGTAGACGGATCGGGCAGTGCAGTGTTCCGCGCTTGCATTCTGGCACAAGTGGGGGACAGGAGCCTCCTGTGTCTTGCTCTTGCTGGTTTTATGTTAGGGAGTTTTCAGCGTTTGTGGATACTTAAGAACTTTGTGCACGCACCGTTTAAAACATTGACGTAAAGTGCAGAGCTATATGGGATTAGGTAATTAAGCAAAAGCTTCTCTGAACCAGTGTGCTTGTCTTTGAACAGAATTTTTAGGAAGCCTCCCTCTGTTTCCATGCTGAGGCCCTTGTGGACTGGGCATTTCTGTGAGGTGGAATGTAACATAGTGTGCAAACGCTGAGAGCCAGGTTCTTGTCTTCATGCATGTCGTTTATTCTTTCTGACTGTGTTAATGGCTCCAAGTACGTCAGAAAGTCTCATGACCAAGTAGTTCCTTACGCATTTGATGTTTTGGTGGCATGGGCTGTGTAAGGCGGGGGAGCAGCTCCGGGATAAGTAGTGCCCCCTTCATTCTTGGCTTTAATTGAGCCAAGGTGAGTGGACTGTAGAGTCAATTTCTGGATTCTTATAAGAGAACATCTTGTGTTATGGGGTGAACTCATCAGATTTTCGGGTTGAGAGGAGTTTTAGTGTCTGTGGCCGAGGCACTTCCCTCTCATGGTGTGTGCAGATGCACACACCCAGCCTGTGAGTGGTGGGTTGGGCTGAGGGTGCAGGCCTGGAGCTTCTGAGCCCCAGAGCCACTGACGTAGACAGCTTTGGCAGCAGCATCCTGAGAAATGGCAGGGGGCCAGAGAACACAGAGACAGGGCCAAGAATAGCTGAAAAATACCAAATGTTGAAGTTGGAGAATGCACTGGCCCCATGTCCCAGTGTCTTCCCAGCTGCTGCGTACTGTGGCCCTGTGAGCCTCAGTGTCCTTTCTTCATGTTGCCAGTGCATCCAGGGCACACCCTGGGCCTCTGACACCCCCACCCACACAGGCACACATTGCCCCATAGAGGAAAGGATTGGTGCAACCCCCGTCCCCCCGGCAGCGTGCTGGGCCTGTGCATAGGTCAAGGTCTGTTGAGAGTGTGAGAAATATTTTCTGTTGGAGACATGAATATGTTTCAGCCACAACAGGGTGCGTTTCAGCTGGAAGAGTGAAAGGGCACCTTGAAAACTCAAGTTTATGGATATGTTTCTGTACTTTCAGACCATCATCAAAGAGGGGATGCTGACCAAACAGAACAATTCATTCCAGCGATCAAAAAGGAGATACTTTAAGCTTCGAGGACGAACGCTTTACTATGCCAAAACGGCAAAGGTGAGGCCCCATGCAGGAAAACACGCGTGAGGACATCACAGGAGCTGTCCCGGGGGAGGAATTGGGGGTGCTGAGTCCTTGTGTGGGAAAAGCTTCAATTTTCAGATCTGTTATTGCCAGTGAGTTTTGTAACACTCCACACTGTCAGGTTTTACTTGTCTCAAGGTATGTTTTATTTCTTATCAAAAGTAATTTCTATTCATTTTCCTTTTCTTTAATGTCATCAGTAATGGGGAAAAGGAAAAAAAGGGTCACAGAAACAGCCACATTAAAGTTGGATATCTTTCTTTCAGAAAGGTTGGGGGGAATCACAGGGTTATGAATTTTATCTTCTTATTATTAAATAATTCTTTATTCTTTAAGTATATTGAGCTTTTTTTTTATTTTTTGTTTTTTTTGAGAGGGAGTCTTGCTCTGTTATCCAGGCTGGAGTGCATTGGCGAGATCTCGGCTCACTGCACCCTCCGCCTCCTGGGTTCAAGCAATTCTCCTGACTCAGCCTCTCGAGTAGCTGGGATTATAGGCACCTGCAACCATGCCTAGCTTATATTTTGTATTTTAGTAGAGATGGGGTTTCACTATGTAGATCAAGCTGGTCTCAAACTCCTGACCTCAAATGATCTGCCTGCCTTGGCCTCCCAAAGTGCTGGGATTACAGGCGTGAGCCACCCATGCTTGGCCTAGAGATGGGGTTTCACCACATTGCCCAGGCTGGTCTTGAACTCCTGACCTCAAGTGATCTTCCTGCCTTGGCCTCCCAAGGTGCTGGGATTATAGGCATGAGCCACTGTGCCCGGCCAAAGTAGAAGGAGCTGAGCTTTTTGATGTGTGAACAGAAATGGGAAATTCTTTATTTTTAGGCTTTCTAGCAATTAACCTTCTTTCTGTTGCCCTATTGTAGGTAGATTTAAAACTAGAAGCACCAGGTGGGTGCTGCTGGAGGAGGAGCAGCCAGGGAAAGTCACAGATTACTGCCATGTTTAAGCGGATGTGGTGTTAGACATTCAGACACCAGTGTGTTAGCTGGGATTCCGAATACCTGTATTTTTATATCAGTATTGGTGTCAGTACTAATATTTTGGTATTTAAGAAATCTGGGATCTGAATCATTTACATTTTGAGACATAGCCCTAGAAAGTTACTGCATTAAAATTTGAAATGGAACAAAGCAGCTTTTTTAGAAAGGGTTCTGACCACTTCCCTCACTTAAAAAAAAAAAAAACACGAGAAAACACCTTTTACAGTTAGTTATGGGGGCGAGGGGAGGGGGAAGTTTACTTAAAAGATTGAGTCTCTTTTCTGAGTAATTAGTTTGATTTTCTCCAGGGTTCCTCATAGAGCCATCGTAGAATAGAGGGGATGGTATATGGGAAACAGCAGGCAGGGGCTGTGCTGGGGGACTGTGACTGTGTAGGGAATGGAAAGGGAGATGGGGGAGGTCCCCAGGCCTGATTCCCAGCCTGCCCTGGAGCGTCTCTCTCTCTCCAGGACCAGTCTCCTTCTGATCTGCTCCCTTGTTTCCTTTCACGGCCAGACCCCTTCCATTTGGACTTGTCTCTCTTCCCCAGAAGAATTCATTTTAGCCAGGACCTTTCCCCTCCATGTGCTCGCTGGAGGAACAAGCTGGGAAGACACAGAATCCTCAGTCCGGACCCCGGGGCCTTCCCCCAGCTAAAACACTGTGTGAGAACATACTTCACATGTAAAAGTGAACACTGGTGTTGACAATAGTAGTAAATACAGAAATACCAGCATTGGGTTGTTTGCTTTGGTTCTCTCTCTTTTTTCCTTCACTAATGCAATGCCAAAGTTCGTAGATTTTTTTTTTTTTTTTTTTTTAAATCATGGCACTATACCTGTGAGCCCGAGCTTTTGGTTAGAAGCAGGTGGGTGAGTTAATTTGGATTGGCTTATTGATTGGATCGTACAGTTTCAAGGTACTTGGGCTTCTGTGGGTGCTTGGTAGGGATCAGGGGGGTGTGGTGGGCAGCGCTGGCTAGTGCTTAAGGATGTCCTTATCTTTGTGTGCCTTAGTCCCTGTGTTTGTCTCTTTTCCAGTCAATCATATTTGATGAGGTGGATCTGTCAGATGCCAGCGTGGCTGAATCCAGTACCAAAAACGTCAACAACAGTTTTACGGTAAGATTCCTGAGTCACGCCTTTCTTGATTCTTTACTGAAGTTGGCTTTCCTTTTTGATCTGAACATGTGTCCAAGCAGTTCAAACACTTTCATTCTTTTCTTTCTGATTGGAATGATTGCTGGTAAAATTTGAATTTAACGCTGAGAGTAATACTGTGGTTGGAAAATAACCAAGAATTTGGCACGCATAAGCACTAAGGGACAATAGGGACAAAATGAAAATTTTTTAAATATGTTTTGGTTCACATCTTTTTTTTTTTTTTTTTTTGAGACAGCGTTTCGCTCTTGTTGCCTGGGCTGGAGTGCAGTGGCGCTATCTCCAGCTCCCAGCAACCTCTGCCTCCCAGGTTCAAGTGATCCTCCTGCCTTAGCCTCCCTAGTAGCTGGGATTACAGGCATGTGCTACCACACCTGGCTAATTTTGTATTTTTAGTAGAGACGGGGTTTCTCCTTGTTGGTCAGGGTGGTCTGGAACTCCCAACCTCAGGTGATCTGCCTGCCTCGGCCTCCCAAAATGTTGGGATTACAGGTGTGAGCCACCACGCTCGGCTGGTTCATGTCTTACTAGCTCTGTACAGAGTTTTGTTTTTTGTGATTAGTGTAGAAAATTTGGAAAGTGCAGACAAGTATGTTAAAGCAATTAAAAAGCAGCCATAATTCAGCCATCTCAAAAAACATTGAGTGTTAATATTTTGGTGTATTTCTTTTTTTTTCCTTTTTTACGTTTAAACTTTCTTCCTTCCGAGTTTATAAAAGTTATATTGGACTTTGTGCAAAAGTTCTAAATGCATGAAATCATGTGATTGCACCACTTGGAAGTGGCCAGCTGCTTACTCTGGAGTGTTTATCTTTATTTCTGTATATTTGTGTCTTTACCTGCGTGTACCCGTGAGATCATGCTGAACCTTTTGGTTTACACCTGTGTGTTTTTTTTTTTTCCAGGACAATTTATAGTAGACAGTTGCTCATGTCAGCTGATCTAAATGTTCATTATATTTTTTAATGGCTATAGTAGCATTTTCTTGTATGATTTTATAATTTAGGCTTTACGGGCTGACTTTAGTACCTACCTATATAAGGTTTGACTCTTAATAACAGCACTAGAACTTTTAAAGCTATTTTTCTTTATGTTATTAGGCCATCCCATCTAGACATAAAGTATGCCCCCTAATTTTAAAAATTATTCTTTTATAATTCAGTCAAGGTGAGTAATTTTCCTCAAGTTTAGGATCCGACATTTTGGGTTAGTGTTAGTTTCATGTGCTTTCAAGTTTTATTTTGTTTATTGATGGATTCATTGTTGATGTTGCTGATACAAATGGGATTTTCCTTCCTCTGTCTAAACCTCTGCTTATTTTGTGTTGATGTAACTGCTCTTATTTTACTTGGAGTATTTGTAGTTTTCTCTATTAATTTATTTTTACCAGCTGGGAAGAGACATTTTTAGCTACACAAATAGATTTTTCTTTGATTCGTGGTTTTTAGAGTCTTTAATAGGAGTAGGTGTTGAATTTCGTTGGAGTGTTCTGAGCATCAGTTAATTAATTAATTAACTTTTTAGAGATGTAGTCTCCCTTTGTCACCCAGGCTGAAGTGCGGTGATGTGATCTCGGCTCACTGTCACCTTTGTCTCCCAGGTTCAAGGGATCCTCATGCCTCAGCCTCCCTAGTAGCTGGGATTATAGGCGTTCACCATTTCGCCCAGCTAATTTTTGTAATTTTAGTAGAGATGGGATTTCACCGTATTGGCCAGGCTGATCTCAAACTCCTGACCTGGAGTGATCTGCCTGCCTGAGCCTTCCGAAGTACTGGGATTACAGGCGTGAGCCACTGTGCCTGGCCCTGAGCATTAATTTAGATGTTCATTTTGGTTTCAGTTATTTGCATATTTCCTATTAAAAAAATTATTCTTGGTAATGTTGAATTTTACTCCTTAATCTTGCAATTTAGATTTTTCCCATTGGTGTATATGCATTTGTTTTGGGTGAGAAGGTAGCCTTGTTGCAGTTTTAAACAATTGTTTTTTCTATTTTTAATTTTAATGGTTACATAATAGTTGGACATATTGCGTTTGTTGTGTTTTGATTTCAGAGTTAAAGTAACCCCATAAAATTCATTTGGTAACTTTCTATGAGTTTATGTTTTCTGCAACATTTTATGTAGCTTTGGGATTGATTGTTTCTTAAGTTTGAGAAAATTTATTTTAAAGTATTTGTCAAGAAGACTTTTTAGGGAGATAAGGCTATAATTGAAATAAATCCTAAAATATTTATTTCTTGCATTTTGATCATTTGAGCCTTTTTCACTTTTTGAGTCCATATCTGTAATTTACTTTCTCACTAATTTCACACCTTCAAATTTAGTAGCATGTACTGTTGTGTAGTTTAAACACGTATGTCTCTGGTTGGATCTCCTTTGCATTTCTAATTTTGTTAGTTTAGTTTGTTTTTCTTGTCAGATTTCTTAAACTCTAGCCTTTTTGTTTTCTTTGTTTTTAAAGAGAACTAGTTCTTAGATTATTGAACAATTCTCCTTTTCTATTTCCTTGTTTTTTTTTTTTTTTTTGAGACGGAGTCTCGCTCTGTTGCCCAGGCTGTAAGGCTGGAATGATCTTGGCTCACTGCAACCTCCACCTCCTGTGTTTAAGCGATTCTTCTGTCTCAGCCTCCTGAGTAGCCGGGATTACAGGCACCTGCCACCACGCCCGGCTAATTTTTTTGTATTTTTAGTAGAGACAGGGTTTCGCCGTGTTGGCCAGGCTGTTCTCAAACTCCTGACCTTGAGTGATCTGCCTGCCTCGGCCTCCCAAAGTGCTAGGATTACAGGTGTGAGCTACTGAGCCTCACCTGTTTCCTTTTTTTTTTTTGGGCGGGGTTTCACTCTGTTGCCCAGGCTGGAGTGTAGTGTTGTGATCTCGGCTCACTGCAACCTCTTCTTCCTGGGTTAAAGCATTTCTCCTGTTTCAGCCTCCTGAGTAGCTGGGATTACAGGCGTGTCCTACCACTACCTGGCTAATTTTTGTATTTTTAGTTAGAGATAGGTTTTCACCATGTTATCCAGGCTGGTCCTGACCTCAAGTGATCTTCCTGCCTCAGCTTCCCAAAGTGCTGGGATTACAGGTGTAAGGTACCATGTTGGGCCCTATTTTTCTGTTTTCTAAATCAATGTCTGCATTTATGTGTATTGGGTTTTTTGTTTTTTTGTTTTTTTAGACAGAGTCTTGCTCTGTTGCCCAGGCTGGAGTGCAGTGGTGTGGTCTCGGCTCACTACAGCCTCCACCTCCCAGGTTCCAGTGATTCTCCTGCCTCAACATTTCTTCTTGGGTAGCTGGGATTATAGGCACACGCCACCATGCCCAGCTAATTTTTGTATTTTTAGTAGAGACGGGGTTTCCCCATGTTGGCTAGGCTGGTCTCAAACTCCTGACCTCAGGTGATCTGCCTACTTCGGCCTCCCAAAGTGCTGGGATTACAGGTGTGAGCCACTATGCCTGGCTGTGTATTGGTTTTTGTCTGTTGTAACTTATGAAATATGTTGTTCAAGTCCTCTTATGATCTTGTTTGTTTGTTTTTTTTTTTTTCACTTGTGCTTCCATAGGCTGTTAATGAGGAGTTAATCTATTTCAGGCCAATTACATGTAACACTTTGTTCATGTATTTCTAACAGTTTTCACCTTCTCCATTTTGAAGCTTTGTTAAGCATATACATGTTTTAAAAGATAATACCCTCAATATTGAGTAATCATTTATTAATAAAGATTAATAAAGTAGTAGCTTTTTTTTCCCGCCCCCGACAAGGTCTTGCTCTATCAACTGGGTTGGAGTGAACTGGCACAATCATGACTCACTGCAGCCTTAAACTCCTGGGCTCAAGTGATCCTCCTGCCTCAGCCTCCCAGTTAGCTGGGACTACAGGTGCTTGACACCATGCCTGGCTAATTTTTACATTTTTTTGTAGAAGCAAGGTCTCGCTATGTTGCTCAGGCTGGTCTTGAACTCCTGGCCTCAAGTGATCCTCCTGCCTTGACCTCCCAAAGTGCTGGGATTAAAGAAGATCTTTTTCACAATGAGTAGTTTGTGTCATTAACCATTCTCTGATATTAGTATTTCTAAGTCTTCTTTTCTTTGTTCAGAATTTACTTAATATACATAACCAACCCCCCCACCCTTTTCCATCCTAACTTTTATCTTTAGTTTTCCTTATTATTTTAAATTTAATTCTCTCTCTCTCTCTTTTTTTTTTTTTTAAGAGATAGGCTCTTGCTCTGTTGCTCAGGCTGGAGTGCAGTGGTACAGTGTTAGCTCACTGCAGCCTCAAACTCCTGGTCTCAAGAGAGCTTCCTCCTCATACTCCCCAGTAGCTGGGACCACAGGCATTGTCACCACACCCAGCTACTTTTTTATTTTTTGTAGAGATGGGGTCTAGCTGTGTTGACTTGGCTGGTCTTTAACTCCTGGCCCCAAGTGATCTGTCTTGGTATCCTAAAGTGTTGGTATTACAGGCATGAGCTGATGTGCCTGGCCTAGATTTAATTCTCGTAAACAGTATGTCGTTAGAATCTGTTTTATTTTAGTCAGAAACCCTTTGCCTTGTAAATATTGTGCTTCAGCCATTTTCTGCTGTCAGGATTATTGCATATCTGATGCCTGTGTTTTGTGGCCGAACGTATTGTACTTTCTTGTTTATTTATTTATTTATTTATTTTTGATAGAGGGTCTTGCTCTGTCACCCAGGCTGGAGTGCAGTGGTGCAGTCGTGGCTCACTGTAGCCTCGACCTCCTAGGCTCAAGTAATCTTCCCACTTCAGCCTTCTGGATAGCTGGGACTCCAGGCACATGTGACCATGCCCAGATAACTTTTGTGTTTTTTGTAGAGACTGCGTTTCACCATGTCACCTAGGCTATTCTTGAACTTCAGGGCGCAAGTAATCCGCCCACCTTGGCCTCCTGAAGTGCTGGAGTTATAGGCATGAGCCACTGCACCCAGTCATGCTTTCTC